CTCTCAGGAAATATCGGTTCCATCCACCTAGTCACTCTAACCAGAAATCCTGGTGCTTCTTGAATCTTCTCTCTCCTTCCATCATTGCATCCAATGAGTTATCAAAGTCAAACTCCCTCAAAGCTGTCTCCTCCTGTCTCCACCTTCACTGCCTCAGCTTGAGGTTGCAATATCCACCCAAGTGGTTTCTGTTCCCTCCAACCCACTTTCCCCATTATTCTCAGTGAATGTTCTAAAATGCCAACTAATCTTTTTCCCCTCTATTTAATATCTCAATCATTCAGAAAATAAAGTCCAAAATCTTTAGAAATAAAATAGTATGTTTGAGCCCTTATTCTGTACCAAATATCATGTTTCACTCACTCAACAAACAACCCTAAGAGTATTTATTTCATGGTAAGATGTATATTATCATACTGATGCACATTATTATATTGTATATTAAGGCATATATCATCATATTGAGGTTCAGAGAAACTAGGCTGGCCAATGTCAGAGTTAAGAAGTGGCAAATCCTGAACTTACACTCATGTTCCTCTTCCCGCATTTTGTTACCACCAATTACAACCTGAGCCCTGCCTAGCTTTTCAGCATCCTCTCTCACCACTGCCCTACTTTTGCACCACACTCCAGCCACATTGAACTGCTAGCCACTTCCCACACTAGCTCATCGGGAAGTCTGCACATAATCCCTGCTGCTCAGAAAGCAATCTCCCACCCTTTATATTTGCGAAATCACTCAAATATCACCCTCCCAACCCAGGTGGTTCTTGCTGCTTCTATGAACTTTTGTGCCCATTTCCACTGGCCTTTATCTCTTGGTGTCATTGTTTTTTATATGTCTATCTCTTCCATAAACCTGCATGTTTCTTGAGGATGGGAACCCTATCTCTTTCATTCTGGTATTTATGGCCCTAGCACAGTGTTGTATGCACTTAATGATTGTTAAGTAACAGTAACTTACTTACATACTTTTAAACACCCCTCCAAAGGAAAGAAAATGCACATTTTTTTCACCTTTTCCATTAAAAAGAATTTAACCATATGATAAATGTGTCACTGTTGTAGTGACACAAGTAAGTGATTAAATTCCATAAATTCTTCTATTTCCATTACTACTACTGAAACTTGGGTCCTCTTTGCTTGGGTCCCAGAAGGATCCTCTGGGACTCTGGTAAGGCTGCTACATGATACCTGACTCTCCACACAGGCATGACTTGGCCTAACTCCCACACAAGCCTATCTGGCTGAAAAGACCTGCTGGTGATCAATACCTGCCCTGATCAGAAGCACTGGGTGACAACCTATTCCACACTCAGACTGGATTCCAAGGCATCTGTTTTGAGATAGAGCACCTGACCCAGCTGCAGCCAACTGTGGAAAAACCCTCATTACCTTGCAATCTCCTGGTGGTAATCATAGTGCTCATCCTCCTCCAGCCACTCCATGGATCCCGTGGTTGGATTGGCACGCCCGCAGAAGACTTTCATGGTGCCAATCAGCTCCTCAGTTTTAGCATAGAAAAGCAGCCTTTCCCAGCTCACTTCTTGTGGACAAGTCTTATCATCACAAATCTATTCAAATCATAATGCCCAAAAATGTAGAGGAAAAAAAAATTTTAAGACAAGGGGAAAAAAAGAGAAAAAAAAATCAAGAAATAGACAAAAATGTCAGTGCCATTGAAAATATTTGTTAATGAGTATTTTAATCTTTCCAGCAAGAGTTACTTGGTTTTGTATTCAGCATTTAACAACAAAAACTATTAAGACAAAGACAAAGAAAAAAACAGAAAAAAAAAAAACCAAACAACTATTAAGACAAAAATTCAGAAAGCTATCTAGAAGCTTTAGGAGTCCTCAGTGATTCCAACAGCGTCCAAAGAGCCTCACAGGTACATCTGAGTGCAGCCTCAGGTGAAGGAAGGAAGGTGAGAAAGGAAATAAAGCAGAAGAAAGGGCTAAAAGGAAAGGAGAACAAAAAAGAAATTACAGTGGTCGTAAAGGAGTGCCATCAATAGTGCCTCAGAATATTAAACACTTGAGGAAAAATACAAAGATACAGCAATCAAACCAACTAGGAAAACCTTCATGGAAACAATAAATCACAGCTATATGCATCATGGATAATCCCAGGAATATAATGTTGAACCAATAAAGAAGCAAATCACAGAATATATATCACTATATTTATAATTATGCAACATAGGACAATATATTCTTCAGGGATCACACTAAAAAGCATAGCAAGGAATGGGGACAGTGGCTACCTCTCAGAGGGAAGGGAAAACGATGGAATCAACGAGGGTCTTACATGGCACTGCAAAAGTAACAGCATTGATTTTTTTCTAAAACTGGGTGGTGAGAATACAGGTGTTCATGATACTCTCATTCTTTATGCCTCACTACTTTTAACTATGATTACTTATCTACTCAATATTCAATTTTAAAAGCAATTTTTAAAAACCTTCCTTCATCTAAAAACAAATGTGCCTCAAATAAATAAAATATCACTAGATTCATGTCTCATATGGCCTATTTCCCCGAAGAGATCTATTTCCGAGAGGCAACCCCCACAGCTCAAAGTCTGAAGGTACCTCTCAGCAGACATGGCCTGTCACAGTGCCCTCCCTCTTACCATTCAGAAAACAGCACGTGTTCCACACTCCCCATCACTTCTTGATTGACACTGATCCATTTTCAGGAAATCTTAGTAAGAATGGCTCCTCCACAGGTCCCTAAACATTCCTAAGGCATTTTATTGGCCAGAGTTACTGATTTTACTTGGAAGTTACCTGAACTAAATAAACAATGAATTCTTATACTAGAGGAAGGAGAACAATCTTTTCTGAAAAGATTCAGGCAGTCATTGGCCTGGTTCAAAGTAGTCAATTTGTCTTCCAGTAAAACTTCTAACTCTACTTCAGCATATCTATTCTCTAATCTAGTTGCTCTCAAGCTTTCTGACAACCCCAGTAAGAAAAATACTTTACCTCGAGACAGGACACGCACAAGTACATACAACTTGAAGTTTCACAAAACAATGTTTAGCCTTCCTATGGGCAAGGCCCTCTGATACAGTCTATTTAATTTTTATTTTTTATGCTGGTCATGATCCACTAACTTGATTTCATAACTTACCAATGGGTTGCAACCTATAGTTTGAAAAGCACTGCTAGAATCAGCTCTGTACAGCTCATACACTAATATTTATTACTAAAGACAGAGTATCTAGAACTACCAGAATCTGTAATGTGCTTTAGAAAACCATGTGCAACAAATGCTACAGTAGAAATGACCACGTCTGACTGAATGTTCAGGAAAAGTTTAAAATATGGGTAGGATTTAAGTGGGCAATGAGAGGGAGAAAGCACTTCACCAGATGAGAAAGGCTAGACATTCACGCACAGTGAATAAGTCAGTTTAGCTGATGTGAAACTAAACAAGGAGTCAAACACGTTGGAGGGGTCCACATTGTGGCAGGTCCCGAAACTCTTATCCTGTGGTCCATGTAGAATCAACCATGAAGTCACTTAAAGGTTAAGAGTATAGTAAAGAACTCTAACCTGTGGAATTCCCTTTTCATCTGTGATGCTGCCAAGGCTGTATCTAGGACCACAATGCCTTCTCAGAACTGTAGAGAAGTCAATGGTTTCACATGAACCTAAATAAATGCTAAAGGACAGAACACTACACATCTATGGATAAATCTTCTCACCTATGATTATGATTTGTCGTCTCCCAGAAGGAACCCACACTCTGGATTCAGGATACACTAATCTCCTCCTCATTCTCCAAAAGCTGTCATTTACCAGCAAGGAATGGAAATCACCATGCCAAGCCCTAATTGCACTACTAACCATATTTCAGAGCAGATGTCTGATTCATTCATTCAAAACTGATTTGGCACCTTCTGTATGTCAGGCACAGTTTTAGGACTGGAAGACTACCATAAATAAGACAGAAGAGGTCCATGTCCTCCAAGAATTTATAGACCATAATGGGAGAAAGAAAGAGTAAATAGAAACAATTCCAGAATACCTGAGAGCAAGAATGGAAACATACAGGGTACTATTAAAGAGAATAACAAAGTTATGGAGAGACTCTTTGGAGAAGACAGCATTTAAATTAAAGCCTGCTTGATAAGCCAGGTTAATGGATGTGGAAGTGTAATGCTCACATTTCAGGAATCCTTACCCCAACTTTTCCAAGAAAAGGCCGTAAGATGTAACGGACTAAGCGCATAGTGACAAAAGCCTGAGTGATTGAAGCACTCTGAGCAGAAGAAAAGGTGGGACATTAGGGGTGGACTTCTGCAAATCACACTGTGCCATGTTAGCTTTCGGGTTTTGTTTTAGACGCACTAGGTTAAAACGTTTTAAGCAAAAGACTATCTGCATTGGGTGTACCCTTTTATGGGGGAGTAAACAGACTGGTTTCCAACTACTCAGAACACACTGACTGGGAAACACCATTGAATCAGAGAACCGTGGCCCGGCTGGAGTGCGATAGCTGGAGGTTGGTATGATCGCGATGCGGGTCTCTGTCGCTGAGGGGAGCCGCCAGGTACTCAGTACCCGCGGAGGTGCTCAGGCACAGGCCCAGTTAGCAACAATCACCTGACTGGATGGCAGAGCGGGGGACCACCTGGAACCCCGCTCTCCCGCCAGCCTGGGCGCTATAAGTCGCCCCATGCAGACTCTAGAAGTCCCTCAAGAGTTCCAAAGAGACGTGTACCCCGGAGTCCGAGTACTTCCATACCAGACCCCTCCACCGAGGCCTTGGGCTGAGGACATGCTGGCTGCACCTGGGCCTCCAACCGCAACCCCACCTTCCCAACCTGCCCAGCGCCTCACCCGTCGTGGGTATCCCTCCGTTCACTTCCGCCGCCGCCATCTTGCCGCTGCAGGCACGCAAGAGAGGTACTTCCCTGCGCGCGCTGAGCGTGCCGGGGACGGACCCAGAAGCGGAACTGGAAGTTTCTTCCGTCGCACCCCGCGCGTTCCCACAGTGCTCCTCGACAGCCGCTATGGAGACCCGCGGGGCTGCTGTGCTCCGCGTGAAGCGAAAGCGCAGCGCGGAGCCCGCTGAGGCGCTCGTCCTCGCTTGTAAACGCCTCCGCTCCTGCGCAGATGAGTCGGGAACCCAGGAGACACCCCTAGAGGGTCTGGCGAGAGCAGCGGAAAACAATGTCTTCCAGTTGGTGGCTACTGTGCGCTCCCAGGTATTGGGCCGGGAGGGAGCCGATGTAAAGGGGATCTTAGGGCGCAGCTGGAGTGAAGTGTTATCCTTGACCCCCTTCACGAACCCCTGGTTCTCCTCTCCCAGGAGGAGCCCGTCCAGCCGCTTGTGCGGGCTGCTCTGCGCCCGTCCCTGGGCAGCCAGCAACGTATCCGCCATAATCTCCGCGCGTCGGCTCGGGAGTTCCAGCAGGAGGGTCGCTACAGGGTGGTTTCCAGCCGCCGATCCTCGGGGATTCCTTCTGGCGGCTTGGAGTCCGAGGACGCACCGAGAAACCCAGAGGCTGCCGTGGATGCAGGCTTCCAACTATTGGACCTGGTACACGAGGAAGGAGACCCAGAGCCCGCCGCCGCGGTCTCCTACAAAGTGAGTACACGCCCTGAGTCGAGCGCTGGGCTTCTCCGGACAGATAGTGCGCAAAGTCTGCACAGAGTTAGAGAGGACTGACATGGCTTCGCTTTACAGATGGATGATTCATCCAGCTTGATAATCTCGTTTTACAGGTTAGGTTATCCACTCAACAAGTATTTTTACTCAGTGCCTGCTATATGCCAGACATTGTTCTTAAGTTCTGTGGCTACAGCAGTGAGGACCTAACATTCAGAGAAGAGAAACATCAAATTCAATGCCGGATGGTGATAGGGGATGTAAGGGGGAGTGGGAGTTAAAGCTTTCAGTGTCACTTTCCCTTGAGTGAAAGTTCGAAGGAGGTGAGTGGCAGAGCACTAGGGGTATCCTGGGGAGAAGGATTCCAGACCAAGGACATGTAAGTGCAGAAGCCCTGAAGCCCAATTTGGTGTTTTCTAGGTCAGTGTGCCTGGAGCCCAATGAGATGGGGGGGGATAGTAACGAATTTGGGAAGAAGATGCTTGTTAGACACTTTCAAGTAGGTACTTGCAAGGACACACTGCCTTTCACCCTGAGATGAAATCACTCGGGGTTTTGAGCAAGATAAAGATAAAGGAGATGGAAAGACTCATTAAAGGGAGTTTAAAGCACTAGTCCTGAGTAGCATACCAAATTTGAGGCAGATGTAGGACTAGAATGCAAGTCTTCTCACATTTAATTCAGTGTTACTTTCTACTAGTTACATTTAGTAAGTTTTTTACCTCACTTTCAAAAAAAAAAGTAAGATGAAATAGAAAATTCTCAACCTAAAATATGCTCCATCTTGATAAACATTTTTCAGATGTCACTCCTTCTAAGTTTTTGAAGTTTAAAAAAAATGAAATTTTTATTCAAAATATATCAAGCAAAAAATATTTAATCATGGTGCTAGTATACCTGGACAATAATTTGGGCATGATGTCCATAGCCACCTCTTTTATCAAAACTAATTACAGACTGCTTCATGAGTTACACATTTTTAAAGTAACCAGTGTTCAGTAGAATCAACTCAAATAACTCAATAATTCATACAAGAAAAACTAGTAGATAAGCTAGAAAGGATATAAGGACAAATTTTCCCAACAATGCAATACAAACTGCAAACACATCAAAAATGTTTATACAGATTAATTATAAAAAACATAAATTTTAGCTGAAAGCAAACTTGAGGTTTTATGTCTACTAGGCTCTCAGGAAAAAGGTTGTTGATAGCACTGCTGGCAAGGCTGTGATGAAAATTGTACATGATTGTAGTGCTTAAAATTGATGGAAGCCTTTGGGAAAACAGCAGGGCTTTACAGTAATATTAGGAACCCTAAAAATAGATTGAGGCCTATTTTTAAACTTTTGTTGTTTGGACTCTAAAGCCATCCAGAAATCTAAAGAAACTTTAAAATTAGAGAGAGCGTTTTTATGCCACATTACAGGGAGCTTCTTAAATTGACATCTAAGTTTTAAACAAAGTACTATTTGATAAGAAACCTGAAAAATTACAGTGGAAAAGTTCAGTTCATCTTATGCAGTAATCTCACCCCCAGGATTTATCCTATGGAAATAATTAAACAGAAGCAAACAGCTATGGTATTAAGAAAAGCTACTGTCGATTTACTAAGTTTTTAAGATTTACCTGTCAAATACTGTGCTAGGTACTTGTTATATTTTCTATTACTTATAGCTCATTTTATCCTCATAAAAACCCTATGAGGTAGGTACTTTTATCCCCATTTTTCAAATACAAGAAATAACACATTCATTGCAGTGTTGTATATGGTGGCTAAAAATTATGTCTGAGAAATTGACACGTACAACTGTTTGGACCATTAAATTGATAACCATGGAGACTGGCATGATGGGAAAATACTTACATATGTTTAACAGTAGAAAATGCTATATGTAGCATAGCTGAAAATATAGGTAAGCATCCACATAGACTTAAAAATAATTTTTCTTTTATGAAAACTATATGTTCATTATAGGAGATTTGAAAAAATACAGCAAAATAAAAAATAAAGGGGGAAAAAAGTACCCATATTACCCCCATCCCAAAGATAACTGGAATTAGATTGGTTTATTTCCTTCTGAGTGTAAAATTCTATGTCTAGTGTTTTTCTGTATTGCTAGTCTTTTTAAATATTTTAATGGCTGAATAATTTTTTGAAATGAGTGTTGGGGGCTTATGAGTTGGTGCCAGAACTTTTCTTGTAAACAGCTTTGAAGTTGGTCAGGAGTCTTCGCAAAAACTGACATCTCTAGTTCCTTTTGGCTTTGGAGCAAGGAATTAATTCCCTTAGCCTGTGAGTAATGAGAACATTTGGTCTTTTATTTGCCTTGACCATTAGACACCCCTCTTACATATGAATGGTGTCTGATTTCAGCTGCACAGCTTCCCAGTGATGAACCTGTCAAGATGAGTAACTTGTAGCATATCCCTCTGGTTTCCACATTGACCTGTGCTACCCTGGTTAATATAGCCTCTTGCCATTGGAGTGCATCACACCTGGGCAAGTTCTATTCTGGAGCAATCCATCTCAAACTTTTGTACCAGAAAAAGGATTATAGGGAAGTTCACTCCTGGTTTGTGATGAAAGCAGGATGTCAGTGTCGGCAAGCCAGGTGGTAGGTGATGGCTGGCAGTAGTCACCAAGGTCCAGGAATCACCCTTAGGCCTCTATAGGAGGCCACACACAATGCAGACCTGTTTGGGGGTCAACTATAAAGGTGCTGCTGTAGGCCTGTGGATTCCCGAGGGGAGAACATCATACCAAAGGAACTCAGAAAAGACCTGCAGAAGCAGAGCTGGGATACTCTAGGAGACTCTTCCCCCAGTCCTCAAGCCAGTTTTCTCATGTGCTCTCTTGTGTCAGCCAAGCACCAAAGAGCAGGAAGCTATCTTGTAGGCTCCTATTGTAAAAGAATACTACACTTAGTATTCTTAGTACTACACTTAGTTTTATAGACTTGATTTTTTAAATTTCATAGCTGAGAAGAGACTAGTAGGCCATGGAGTTAAGAATCTTGGATTCAACATAGAGAACTATAGGGAGGTTCCCTTCACCCAGCTTAGGTTCATTCTCTTGGAACATCCATGTTTTAGGTTATGCATATATCATCTTCTCTTCTCTTTACAGACATGTGACCCAGATGTGATCCTCTGCAATTCTGTAGAGTTGATCCGTGAGCAGTTAACTATATCTGAAGGAGGAGCAGTAGTCGGGCACCAGGAGGAACAGAAGGACGACTATGTATATGACATTTACTATTTGGACAAGGCCACTCCAGGATGGATTGAGAATATCCTCTCCGTGCAGCCTTACAGCCAGGAATGGGAGTTGGTAAGGAGGCCCATGAGGACAGGGGGCATGAGGCAGCCTAAATTCATTTTATACAGTTGGTCCTCCGTGTCTGCAGCTTCCATGGGCTCCACATCTGCAGATTCAACAAACCACAGGTGGAAAATATCGGGGGGGGTTCCAGAAAGTTCCAAAAAGCAAAAAATTGAATATGCTGCACACTAGCAACTATTTACATAGTATTTACATGGTATTAGATACTACACATAATCTAGAGATGATTTAAAGTATATGGGATACCTGTGATGTGCATAGCTTATATGCAAATACTGAGCCATTTTGTGTAAGGGACTTGAGCATCTGCAGATTTTGGTATCCTCAGGGGGGTCCTGGAGTCGTGGAATCAGTCTCCCATGGATATTGAAGGATACTGTATGTACCTACCCTCAGGAAGGAAAAATGTACGAGGGCAACATGAGTGAGAACAAAAGTTTGGTTTTTTTTTAATTGTATCTTAAAAGGTGGAAAACCTTGAATTAAGATAGCTAACACCCTGACGTTATTCTTAAATTCTAAAATGATTAATGAGAAAAGTTAAGGTGGTACCTGTCATGCTCTTATTGAGAGAGAAGCATCTATCCCACACCTGCACTATAAGCATGGTCTTACAGTCATGTACCCACCTTGGGCCATTGCACGGCCCCCCTCCTGCCTTTCTGCATCCTTCACACTTAGGTTTTGGTTCCAACCTTTGGTATCCCCTGTAATCCATGTAATCCCTCTCCTACCTGGCTGACTTTCAGAAGTTTGAAGATCACCGTCATCACCTGCTCAGAGCTATGTCTCCTCCCCACCCTGGTGTGTTCCCTTCTGGTGGAGTTCAAACTATCTGGTCAGGAATGTGATTCTTGGAGCTGGACTCTGAATAGAGTAAGGCTATTATGTCCCTCTCATAGCCTAAGGTTACTATAGCCTCTAGCAAACTTAATTCCTAGGTTTTCTCTTTTTCACACAGCACCCTTAAATGCCATCTCTCCAAATCAGTCTGTTAATAGCTTCCCCCAGAGCATAACCTTAGAGGTTTTGACTTATACTCATGTTTATATTGAGATGTGCAGGTGAATGATGACCAGCAACCAGAGGACATTTATGAAGATGAAGATGATGAGAACAGTGAGAATAACTGGCGGAATGAGTACCCAGAGGAGGAGAACAGTGACGAAGATGAAGATTCCAGAGGTAGGTAGCAGCCCTGGATGGGGAGGGACTGGTGGGATCTAGGACTGAGGTGTGAGCACAGTTGACAGTTTACTGGCTTTCCTTCTCTACCATTTGAGCTTCACCATCTCAAACACAAACTGTTGCAGCTGTAGGAGATACAAGGACCACTGTTTCCAGGGGGGCTGCTGGAAGTATAATGTCAGTCAGACCTGGGTTCAAATCCTTTGTTCTGTTATTGCCTAGCAATTATTCCTTTCCCTTATGCTTTGAATAAAGTGTTGTAGAGATTTGCCAGTAGGAGTAGACCCAGGGTTTTCACAAATCTAGGAATTGCTGCATTTACAGGTGTTTTAAGAAAGGTACAACACAAACATGGTATCATGGCATCACAGTTTCTACAATATCTTGGTGTTTGATAATGGAGCAACAGTTAATCAGACTATGAAATATTCTATTGGGGAAATGCTATGATACGTTAAAAGGAAAAAGGCAAGGTACAGAATTATATTTACAATACAACTGTTATAACCAAAAAAAATCCTGTACTTAGGGGAGAAATGACAAAACCCTCCAATGTTAAAGAACTTAGTGTACACGGTAGGAATTTTACTGCTTTTTAAAAAAAATTGTTCTATAGTCTGAATTTTACTTATGGAGCAAGTATTTTATAATAATAGGGACCAAAAAAACCAAAAACAAAAACAGTCTTTTGAGAAGGGAAAAGGCTTTTGTGGTCATCTAGAAAACCATACAATTAAGGGCCTATTCCTGTTATCTCATTCTAGGCTCTGATGAATACAGCAGCCTCAGTGAAGAAGAAAGAGACCACAGTAGACCACAGATATGCAGCAAATACCCTCTGGATGTGCAGAAGGAGTTTGGCTACGACAGCCCCCATGACCTGGATTCAGACTGATGATCCTGTGATATCCATGAGGTTCTACCACAAGCCCCTGAGGGTTTTGTGAGTGCAGTGTCAGCCACCCTAGTAACATCCTCTCAGGTTCCCTAGTTTAACATGTGGAAGGAAAAAGCATACCCAAAAGCACTGTTCCACCATGGTGAAAACTTGCGCTAAAGGAGTGCATCTTTTCTACTAACTGTAGGGCCCCTTTGTTTTGTTCAAAAGTGACTCTACAGTTGGGGATAGGGAGTGGAGGGAATGCTGTGAAAATGCAGCTCACTCACCCAAGCATTTTCCTGGCATTCCCATTCTCCTACCGGTAAGTGGAAGAGCTCCCCATTTTATCAGCACAGAGCCTTGGCTTTCCCAGGCCACGTGCTTCTAGTAAGCGCCTATTTCTTTTGGTAGAGGGAATGCAGAAGGGTTACAGTGGGTCCTTTGTAGCAGCACGGACTGAATGGTAATGGCCATTAAGAAAGGAAATAGAATCTGCTGCCTTTAAAATCTGAGTATCTTACATGTTTTCCTACTATCCTGCACCTCCCTGCTCCTTCCCACTGCCGGGGGGTGGGAGGTGGTTAGTAAGTTTCAGACACTAAAGACTTAAAGGCAAATGAGGAAAAGTAAAGCACATTCTAAACTTGGCTGTCCATTGAGAAATGTTTATTCACAGTACTCACCAAAAATAAACTATCATCAATGGGATCAGTTTTGTTACCAGCACTGGTATCTCTTACAAGCAGACTCTGTCTCTACCCCTTTCCAAAGCACGCATGCTTAACGCTGACTGAGTTGGTATTTATTCTACAGTGACAAATATGTTCTGTATCTTCACTGTGCAGTAGTAGCCATTTAGCCACATACGGTTCTTGAGCACTTGTGATTGGTACAACTGAGGAAGTGAATTTAAATTTTAACTTAAGTAGCTACATATGGCTAGTAGCTACCATATTGGACAGTGCAGGTCTTGGAAAACAATACACAGAATGTTTGATGCAAGTGTGCCCTATTGCCCTGTAGCAGACTTGCTATCACGTGGGAAAGTCAATTACTCAGGGAGCTGTCTTCCTGCAAATTCTAAGATTTCATAAGTATCTCTATTCTTCTATCCTACCTCCGCCTATTTCACAGTGTACTCTTTGTACATCTTTACCTATATATTCCTATCTATGTGGGTTGATAAATCTCCCAAAGTGACTAAATTCTGTGTGTATGTATACTCAGGCCTATTACTGCAATTATAAAACCAGCAGACTTGGCTTCCCATCCGAACTATCTACAAAGGTGCAATTCAGTGCTGCAAGTAACAGGTGACAACTTACATGCCTAATACTGGTCATCTCAGTCTCCTGTAGGCATAGAAATGAAGGGTTGGAAACCATTCTGCCATTATAATGTGCTCACTGCTATTTATGTACTCGTTAAGGTTTGCCAACATGAAAGGTCTGACAGCTTCACAAACTGTACCCACTACAAAGGGGATTAACTCACCAGGAGAAGGATTCAAGGAGATGAACAACAAAGACCTGGAGGAAATTAATTCCACTACAAAGCTCGAGTGCTGGCTTCCCTCCCTCAGAAGGGTTCCCAGGAGAAGTCTGTATGCAGCACAGAGGGGAAGAATGCAGTTAACTGTCCAGTAATGAGGAGGAGGACACGGCTCACTAAGCAAGTACTAGGGCACCTGGGGTGCGAGGTCCCTTGCTTCCCCCAGGAGTCACTGGGAGGCAGAAAGTTCCTGAGATTAGCGGTCATTTACTTCAAGGCGGAAAGCCAGAGCCTGGGTCAGTGATCCTCGAGGCAAGCACACGCTGCTTGAAGGATTAGCTCCAGAGGATTCCTGGGATAGGTGCCAGCTTGGCTCAGACAGGAGTCATGTTTACATAGTCTGGGCAAATCAGCCTTTCCATAAGACTCCCTGTTGTCAGGCAAATCCCCAACCCATGACAGCAGGAATGTATCCCATGTTCTCACAGATGCATTTCCTGAACCAAAGGCAACTGAGCATGCTCCCCTAAATTGCATTTATTGAATAAGTTTAACCAAGGTTACTCCCATGTCTGCAGTTGGGTCTAGTTTGGTGAAGAATGGTCAGAAAGGTAGATTGCCTCATAGTTCTTGTCTTTACCATTGATCAGTTTTAAAACCTAAGGACAGTAAGTCCACAGGGCATGCCAAGCCAGCAAGTTCTGGGTCCAGGATGACCGTGTCTGGGAGCATCACAGGACAGTTGTCCAATCCAGTACAGCCATGCCGCCCACGAAGGAACATCCACTAGGCCAAACCTGCTGTTCTGGCCCAACTTGGGTGCTCAAGCACAGCCTGAGCACCAGAATTAGCTGCTTCTGATCATAGTCTGCTGAAGAGCCTGGTGGAGGCTGGAGTAGCCTTATTCCCAAAGTCTTCACTGATCTCCACAGAGAGAAAATAGAAGTCCCCACAGGTACCAAGCTCCTCCTGAGACTGCAGCCCCATCACACCTCAGCCAAGGGGAGGCAGGCAGGAGAGGAGTACATTGTCCCAGTGATCCACACCAAGGTGGCTCAGAGTGTAAACAAAGCCTGGTGTCAGGGACAGAAGAGGAGGAGGAGGATGCAGCCTGGTGTGAGGTTTTCAGAAAAAAGTGACCACTTCTAGCACCAAGGTGGGCTTGTGTGGGTCTGCACAGCAGCCCGTCACACCGGCCCTTACAGAGAGGAACAAGCTACTTGTTGGCTTGGGTCCAGGAGAAGTTCTCTAAGTCATTGACAGCTGAAAGAATTCAAGTGATACACCTGAATTCCAGAAGTTTATGTCCTCTTATTAGAGTTCATACCATAAACCTGGAGGTTTGTTTTTTGTCAACTAGAACAAAGACCTAAGGTCTCAAGTAAAATAATTATCCTTAAAGTAGCAGTATTACCAGACTTCTGACTCAGATTTGTTGTCATTGCTGAACTTGAGCCAGGTGCTTGTAACATGTGGCCTGTCTATACACTAAAGTGTAGTTGGCACATGAGTAAGAAATCTTTCGGTACATGAGTGAAAAAGTCTTTGAAGTTCACCACTGCCCGTGAGACTCAACAGGAGATTATGCTAAAACTGAGCCAAAGATCTGTGGTCAGAGTCTGGCTTGCCACCACATAGACACCTCTAAGGGCAGAGGGATTCAGTTTGGGGTACTTGGAGTTTTTATACAGTCAGTCTGTTGCATCCTGTAGATGAATGAACACCAATGATTTGCTAGAATTGATGTTCCAGATTAATTAGTATCAATAAATAATGGAATACAACCTCTCCCCAGGGAAAGATTTTAGGTAGAGCTTTTCAGGCTCTGTAGTCAGGTGCTTCAACCTGGTCAGAGGAAAACTTCCCATAAAGCAGCCCCTTTGTAGAGACTCCTGATTCAAACAAATAACAGAATCAGAAACCACCAGCCACAGCTACTAACCTAGCACTCTCTTCCTCCAATGCGGCACCAAGTAAGTGTAAGGGCTGCACCTACTCACCAGGAACAAAACTAAATCATTCCCCTGCTACCCAAGCCCTCTCCCATCACCATCTGAAGTCCCCACCTTCAGACTGGCCCCAGACCCTGAGACTCCTCCCATAGCTTACCAACAAGAGACCACCTGAGAAGGCCATCAGCCCTGAGCTCCCTTCCATAATGTGGGCCAGCAGCCCCCTTTAGCACAAGAGGGTTGGGCCTACAGTCTTTTCATCCGGACTTTGGTAGCTGTGGCCACAGGTAGCAGCCTTCCAGGCCTCAGGGGATGTCACCTCTGGCCTCTACTCAGTTTTCCTTTCAACCTTTCTCTCTTCAGCTACATCTAGCTCAGTCAGGACGCAAAAGCAAAGCTTCTGGGTGACTTTGGTGATAGCAGCTAAATGAAAATAGAAAACAGAATTTAGCACACTGACATTTAGCTACAGCCCCAAACTAAACACCACAAGGCTGATTAAAAGCACGTAGCTCCCTCCCCACCTGTCCCTTGGTTACCCTGTGCCAGGCTTTGCCCCTCACCCACAACAAACTTCATTGTCCTTTCCCATGCCCAACCAGAGTCTAATGTGTGACTCTGCATCTTCCCGCGTGGACTGCACTTTCAGGAGGGTTTTACCCCCAAAATAGGACTCTAAAGTTAGAATTAAAGTGATCATGTCAAGATCAAAAGAAGACGTCCAGTTGGGCAGCCAGGTTCTCGTGGCCTCCAGTGTGCCACTAGTATGGAGGAAGCTGCAAGCCGTGAGCACACCCACCTGTGCATGCATCTTTGTACACACATACTCAAACACACAGCCAGTGAGTGATGGGCAAAGAGAAGCTTACCCAGGACATTCCGAATAAAGAGTGGCCTCCGGGACTCTGGCAGATAAACACCTAGGAAGTACACAGGGACCCCTGAGAGGGCAATCCCAATGCCAATGAAAGAATTGATGGTATCACTGAAGAGGGGCACAATCACCAGAAACACGGAGCATATGCAGAACATGACGGGAAAAAACAGGCTCAGCTGAAAGGAAGGGAGATGAGCTATTAGGTAAACTGGGATGGGGGAACAGAAGAATAGGGTATGGGAAAGAAGGCTCCTTGAGATGGCCCGCCCCCCAAGTTTTCCCAGAGCCACTGACCTTGAGAGGACGGGGCCGTTCGGGCTCCTTCCAGCGAAGGTAGAGCTGTCCAGCGACAGACAGGCCCACAAAGAACCAGTAGCTGAAGCTGAAGTAGTTGATGAGCAGGAAGACATCCTCCACAGTGAGGTAGATGAGTGTCATGGTGCACTAGAGGGGGAATGGTTGGGGAGGAGGAATCCTTATCATCACCAACAAGGCCATCCAGGAGACTCCACCATCCAGCAGTCAGCACCAGGTCTTTGGACCGCTGATTTAGCCGGATTACCTCCAGTTATTTTCAGTGACCGTTTGGCATCAGGTAGGTCCATTCTCCACATTAGCCTTCAAGGTGGCATCTCCCACTTCTGTTGGGGGCCCTTCCTACATTCAATGCCCCCCCCTTCTTTCTTCAAGCACTTCAGGAGCAAGCCAGACTCCTAACCCCTTCTGATGGCAGACAGTGAGGCCCTCCTCACCGCAATGCACCAACCACAACATGAATCCCGCTGGGCCCTTGGGAGACTTATGCTTTGGTCCCAACTACCTCGCACACTAATGGAAGAAATGCCTCCAGAACTATCTCCCATTCTGGGGCCTTAGAAATGCAGATTAGCAAAATGGATCCACATCCCTGGAGAAAAGTATGGTGGAATTTGCCCCCTGGAACAAAAGAATCCTAGAAGACAGAGATAAGGAGTAGAGTCCTAGGACAAGGTTAGATTTGCTTAAACTTTCAGAATATGGAGTTCCTTCTATCTTTTTACCCAGATTATCAACAAAGGATTTAAAACAAAAAGAGCCCATTCTGGAGAGAGAAAAGGAACCCTGCACTGAAAGGAAAAAAGTGCGGTGGAATGTGATTAATTTAAAAGACATCAGATCTCCCTAAATTTATAAATGCAGTGCTATCCCAATCAAAATATTGAGAGGATTTTTTGTTATTTTGACAAAATGATACCAAGTTCATAAACAAACAGGTGAGAATTGTCAGGGAGATTCCAGGGGGATGAGGGGAACTAAAAAAGTACCCTCAGACCCTCTTTAGCTTTCAAATATTCAGTGTAAAGCTAAATAAGGAAGCTTGGTGCTGATAGAAGGATGAGTTGAGGTAATGATACATTCAAGGGGCAAATAACTGTATTTGGCACATAATGAAGCACCCTAAAAAATTAGCTATTTTTATATAATTAAAAATTAGAAAACCATGGAAAATGGACTATTCAATCAATAACATTGGTATAGCTGGCTAGCTATTTGAGAAAAAAATTAAGTGAATCCCTACCTTGCTCCATAAAATAAAATATAAATTCCAGATGAATTAAAAAAAATGGGGGGTGGGTGAAGTAATTAGGTTTGTTTAATTATTTATTCTTGGAGGTGCCAGGGATTGAATGCAAGACCTCCTGCATGCTCAGCATACACTCTACCACTTGAGCTATGCCCTCCCCCTCCAGATGAATCCAAAATTTAAAATTAAGTAATGAAACCATAAAAGAACTAAATGACAAAAAGGAAAAAAGAACTGGTTTTTTTGTTTGTTCTTGTTTTTCCTTTTTCAGTTTTAAAATGAACTGTTTTTTAAATCTTGGAGTAAGGCCTTTCTCAGGGTCCCCATTAACCTTTACATATATAATGCCTCAGTGCAAATGAGAAAATAGCGGTCCTTCTTCAGGACTCCCTCCATGTTTCAGAATACTTCATAATTTACTGATTTGTTGGAATAAAACACTTTAATGCCATCTACTAAATATAAATGCATGATGTTTATGATATGAATAGAGGCCCCTAGGGTAGCTGGTGAAATTAAAAAAAAAAAAAAGGAGCTAGGAGAAGGAGGGAAAAAGCCACTGACAGAAAAGATAGATAAAGCTTACAAATTCATTTTTATGTTCTTTTGTAGCATCTGCTTCTCTAATATGACTATGTTTTACTTTTACATTATAAAAAAAATTTTAAGAAAGAATTAGAAACACTGTGAGGCTTGGGAAGTATCCCAAGAAACGAGAATTCCTCCCCTGAAGCAGTTTTCTCATAAAATCAGCATGAGTACCACACAGCTACATCCAATCCCCACACTCCCCAGCAGAGCTTACGTTGAACAATAAAGCAGGGATGGGTGTAAAACGCTCGATGTGGATCATGGACAGAAGGTCTGGGAGGTGGCCCTCACGGGAGCCCACAAAGAACAACCTGGAAGCACAAGAAATGTGTCAGGAGGATCCCTGTACTCAGCATGCAGCGACACTCCTCACGCAGACAAACTAGCCTCAGCTCCAGAAAAAATGAGGGGCATCTCTCAGGAACATCCTACATTCTCTATGCATGACTAGGCCAACCTACCCCTGCTTTACCCACAGATATCTCCACATTACCCAAGAATGCATGACCCCACTGTCCCACCCGCACCCCCAGCTCTCAGCTGTGCAACCCACCATCACCCAATGGATGTCTCACCCTGCCACCACCCACCAGGACCCCAATCCACTCCTCCAGGGGATCCCCACTCTGCCCCACAAATTTCCTGCTTAACATAATGGCTTTTTAAAGTGCAGCCAGACTTCTAATTGTGCCCTCCATACACCCTCTCTGAGCTCCTGATAAACGAAAGGCCAGGTTAAGCCTGAGGTCAACGAGACAACCCAGGCTTCCTCTCTGCTCCCACAGAGCCCTCCTGACTGGGAAACAGCAGCGGAGAAATGAACCACCACCCAGGGTAGTCAGCTGCAACATGGAGCACACAGCACTCACCAGGCTTGGGGGTGGGCTGGGGGAACAAAAAGCTTCACAAGAGATGACCACATCTGGGGTGGGAAGAAGAGTAGGGTTTTCCAGATGAGTGCTAGGTGTGGAAACAGCATGAGCAAAGGCAAAAGAGGCTTGGAGGCATGAAAGAGGGTAGCTTCTTTGAAGGTTGCTGCTAGAATGCCTGTAGTCCCAGGCTAAGTTGTGTGAGGAGTGCTGGGAAGAACCTGCTTGTGAGGCCACACTGTGGCATCTGACAAACACTGAGAGGCAGCTGTGGCTCTGAACCAGATGTGACACAGACTCGGGCGACATCATGACTAAAGCAGGCAGAGGCTAGGGTATGAGGGAAGGCCAGACAAGGTCATCCATGACAACAGTCCCATAAGAAAGGAGACCTGAATGAGGGTGGATGCCCTGGCTAAGGAGGAAACAAATGACAGATCTGAAAACCTCATTCAAATCTAGTGATCTGTGTGCATGTGTACACTGAGCTGGGAGATATAGGTGGGCACCAAGGGAAAAATCGAGGTCAAGAGGCCAGGTAAGGAGGATTCATGGACCACAACATCATAATTGGAGACAAAGCACATTTGGGTTGTGTGTTAAGTTTGAGATACTTATGGGCCTTCCAGGTGGAGCCATAGGAGCTGATGGTATCATCTGGAAGGGTGTTATAGGGCAAGATGTTGGAGTTGGCTTACAAGGTTAATAACCTGTACTAGATAGAGAAGAAATATGGTAGAGGGGATGCTGCAAGAGGATAATGTGTAGGTGAGACAAGGTGTCTAGACAAAGCCAATGACAGTGGCATGGGTAATAGAGGAGAAGTGAAGAAGGTAACACGGGCAGAAATAATTGTGCATCATCTTGACGTTACTGCAGTCTCCTCTATGTGCTCTGAGTCCCCCATCCCCGCCCCTATCCTGTCAATGCCAGAAGATACCTGAGGAAGGTTAGAAGGTACCTATTATCTATTTTGGGACAATAAGCAGAGCCAATTAGGATGTCTTGAGCCTCAACAAGGGTGAAGCTATGGGAAATATCATCTTTGGGTGGGGCAACTTGTGAAGAGCCACATGGGGTGCAACGCTGGCCACACCAGGCTGCAGTGACGGAAGATGACACCATTTTCTTTTATAATGCCTTGATCTTTCTATTACTCTGGTCGCCCCAGGGAGGCCCCAAGTTCATGGACCAGGGTGTCAAAATTGGTAAGAAGAAAGAAAAGGACAAAACCATTTCTTTCATTAATTTGTCCTCCTATCTGTTCATGTGGCAAACATTTATTGAATGCCTATAATATCCCTGGCCCTGGGGACAGCAACATTTATAGGGTGTGTGGAAGAGAAATCAGGAAAGAAGCCTTCCTCTCAGATATCAGAGTGTCACAGAAGCCACTGAAATAGTTTCAGAAGGAGAAGGTGGTAAACATCTCTTGCTTTGGGGGTACAGAAGGATAAGGACTAAAAGCAGGAGGTCACTGGTACCCTTGATAAGAACACTTTTTTGGTAGTAGAAGCCTACCTATGTGTAGAAAAATGAATGACTATCAAAACACAAACCATTCCCTTGAGCAGTATATCCAGTAAGGAAGAAGGGAGATGAGAAATGCTATTCTGTGACTTCTGCAAGTAGAGATGAGAGAAGCTTGTGCAGAGCTGGTGTTACTGAAACATCCATCAAAGAGAAGGGTCAAGTGATGAAGCAAAATGCTGAAGAAGAGAGGGAGTGCCAGAATCCTGGAACCAGGTAGCAGAATCAGCCTGAAAAGGTAGAAACTGGTCCTCTCTCTGAAACAACAGGAAGGGCAGTGCTCTTACAGGTAAGCTTCTGTGCAGAGAAAAGAGCAGGAGCCTACCCGTCAGCATCAGTGTTTCCTGTGACATGAGGGGCAGAGTCGTCCTGTCCCCAGTACCTGATACACAGCATGTGCTCAACAACTATTTACTATAGGAATGAACCCCGGGGCTGCAGCATAACCCACAAGGAGCCTCGAGTCTGGTCCCTGACAGGATCGCTACTTTAGGCTACTGCCTTCCTTCCCTCTGCGTCTTACCATCCTGTCCTTACCTCAGATGCAAACATGAGCTACCAGCACACGTTTGCACAAAGGCAAGCGCACACATGCACACATGCACACATGCCTGTGCACACATACACACCCTGCACGTCCAAAAGAGGGAGAAGGGAAAGAAGAGCTCCCATGGATTCACCTAGTGCTTCAGAGAGTTAAACACTTCAGTCTGTTATTGGTGAAGCAGAGACACAGTACCTTGATGAAGCAAAGACAGACGCGTTGAGGCCCCCAAAGCAGGACAGGGCAACAGCAATGGGAATGGTCCAGCTGAACATGCCAAATGTCCGGTCAGCAAATGTCTGGGGGAAGAGCACAGAGGGGCACTCAGCACTGGACAGGGTCTCCACAGCCTCCTGCATCTACACTCTCCGGACAAACGCAGTCACTGCTGAGCAGCCCACCCCTGGCTTAGACCCATCAATTCGCCCTGCAGAGCTGAGTGATGAGGTCGAGCCACTCAGTAACACAAGATGACGAGCAAATTGGGATCCCAAGAGACTCACCACGGCTACAGCATCACTGCCAAGGACATCTGAAATGCTCAGCACTGTGTAATAGGCCACGTTGGTCAGGATGTAGATGAGAGTCACAATTGGCATAGAAATCCCAATGGCCAGGGGCAAATTTCTGTCAGGACAAGTGAGTTAGGACTACCTGGCACCCACCTCTCCTTGGGGGTTAAACTTCACTTAGGGATTTTTTTGACATTTAATAGTTCCTTGGCCTCTGGGTCTTTGAGGCTGACTCCTCTTCCCCACATGGCCTAAGGGAGGTATGCATCCCACACCCCTGGGCTCTTTCTACTGAAAGAGAGAGAGAGAGAGACTTCTCTGTGAAGATGGCTCATAATCAATACTTGATCCTCGCCCCTGTGGGACCACTGGGTCCCACTGAAGGAGGAACAGTGTCCTCTAGGAACTGGAGGCCAGGCTGGGAACCAGGCTGCCCAGAATAAGCTTCTGGCTCCTCAGGCTTCAGTGTCAGCACCAGAGTGCAAGGGCTTAACATCTTATCCCCAGCTGGCTCAGCTGCTGCCCACTGGCGACCCTCTCCTCGAGGGACGACTCTGGGATCCTCCAGTATGAACACAAGGCCAAGGAGCCAGGGGCTTTCCCACCTTCACTCATTCCCATCTGAGCCCCTAATCCCTCAGAGCTGGAGAAGGGGGAGTAGGAAGAAGAAGGGATGAGAGACAAAGTGAGGACGGGAGAGACGAGGGCAAGAGTGCCCACTATCAGCAGGAGTTCCAGCCAAGTTGGGGAGTGAGAATATGATCCCACCTTTACCTTTCTGGATTTTTGATTTCTTCTGTTACAAAATTAAGGGTGTCCCAACCTGAGTAAGAGAAGAGGGCAGAGTAGAGGGCGAGAGAGAGGTCTCCCATGTCCCAGGAGGAACCCTCAAAGGCGTCCTGAAAGTGCTCAGAGTGTCCTGTGGGGGCAAAGGCAGGAGGAGGTGCAGAGAGAAGAAAGACGAAGAAGAAGGAGAGGGGAGATGGAAGGTATAAAGAGAAGGGAAAGGATAGGGAGGGTCCGTGAGAAAGAGGAAAGGAAGGAGGAAAAAAAAAAAGGAGAAAGCAGGAGGGTCAAGAAAAGAAGGGAAAAGCAAGAGGACAGTGAGAAGGAAAAAAAAATTTTAATACCAAAAGAACAAGTCACCAGCTCCCTGCACTTTACCACTCCACCCACTCCCTCTGGACAGTTCATATTCCTTTAGTAGAACTAGACAATCTCAGAAAAACAAAGGCATTCCTGGCTGGCTTCTGAAGTGATAACACCTTTTCCAAAGCCCCAGTGGATTTCCATTTCCTGCAAGTGACCTCACAGCAGGCCACAGCTCTTCCTCCTATTTTTAGAAAGAACCCTTTTCATATAAAGGAGTCATTTTTCATTAACAACTAGATCTTCCTGTGGAACTACCTCTCTTGGCCCAGACCACTACACAATTTGGTCAAATAAATTTTTCTGAGGGGGAGGTAATTAGGTTTCTTCATTGATTTCCGCTTGGAGGAGGTGCCAGGGATTGAACCCGGAACCTCTTGGGTGCTGGGCATGCACTGTACCACTTGAGCTATATACCCTTCCCCCTTAAAAAAAAACAGGTTTTATATATTTTTTTTTGGTGGGGGAAGGTAGTAAGGTTTGTTTGTTTGTTTTTCTTTAATGAATGTACTGGGGATTGAACCCAGGACCTCATGCATGCTAAGCATGTGCTCTACCACTTGAGCTATACCCTCCCTGTCAAATAGGTTTTTCAGTCCCACCAAGAGAATTCTGTTGCATACTTGCAGTGGCTATGGTTATGTGGGGAAGGAAATCACAGGCTATGTAGAAACTGGAATCTTAACTCTCTAAGCCTGGGCCACCTCCACCCTTGGAGAGCCAGCCTAGATATCTGTCATTCTCCTTGGAGGCCTCCAGAGACCACGACTTGAAAACAAAAGGAGCAGCACCCAGCTGTCCAGAAGAACTTCTAGACATAGTGGAGGTTTTAAACAAGATCCAGACTTCTAAGGAAGCCTGCTGTCATTCCCTGCAGAAAGCCTAGACTCATCCCTCAATGTGGCAAAAAGGACTGGGTATGCAGCAAAGACATGGGAAAACAGACTCCAGGAACGTCCAGATAGCCGGCGGTGCTAACTTGGCACACTTGCACAAAGATGCTGGACCAGATCCCTAAGAGTCACCCAGGCCACTTCTTTAAAAAATACCTTTTTCAATTCCAAACCAATTGGAGTTGCAGTAAGTATGAGATGGGAGTCTCAGGTCCCCAAGTGATTGCAAACACAGCCAAATCTAGAGACAGATGATCTAGAGAACTGGATTGTCTAATGATTGACATCCTTGAAAAAGACACCTCAGGACTTCTCTAAGGGGTCAGGAGAATCTTGAGAGACCAGTTACCCTCACTGCCAATCAGCTCGGATCTGGGAATGAAAAGCTCTCTAAAGCCAATATGCAGGAAAGTCAGCACCAACTTCCCCATACCTTAATATTTTGCTGAGAGCTGACTTTGGAAGGGACTGTTAAATAAGAGCAAGTCCAGGTGAAAGGTAAAGGCTACAAAATAACCATTCATTTCCAGACCCCATCTTCCCACCACACACCTCCCACCCCTCTCAAGGAGGCCAAGTCTTCCTACTCACTGCCTGGCAGTCACAGACCAAAAGCAGGAGGCAGAGCAGGGCTCACTCTATCCTCACCTATCACTTTTATGACTTAATTACAACCCAGGTTTCAAAAGCTCCTAGGCCCTCAGCTGGCTTCTTGCAATGCTCTCCTCCTCCACGAAGGGAAAGCAGCTCTGAGAGGAGGACCTAACTCATGTCCAGTTGGCCAAGCCAGCCTAACCCAAGAACAGAGTTCTTGCTCCCACTGACACAATCTAGCCTGTACATAGACAGGGGTGATCAGTCAAGCTAACAGAGTCCCCACGTCCTCCTCAGGGAATCCAGGGGACTCCCAGAGTCACCCACCCTCCTTCCCACCTTGGGCCCTTCTTACCCTGGCACAGTTTAACAAGGCCCATGACAATGATGGCAATGAGCGCTAGGACCTTGGCGTAAGTGAACGTGTCCTGCACACGTGTGCCCCACTTGACATAGGCACAGTTCACAAATGTCAGCAGACCTAGGAAGAAAACCATAAAATCAGTGGCAGGCTTGAGCTGAGGGCACGGGGGCTCAGCCTCTCTTTACAAAGCACATCATTTCTATCCTGTCTGCCTAGGGCAAAGGGCCAATGGACCAGGAGAACCAGGAGAACAGGCAAATGGGGGAACATTCCCCCATGTGTAGGGCTAAGAACTCCTATGAACTTCTCATCACAAGATACAAAGGCACACATTAACACATATTCTGACAGCCAGAACCATATTTGGAAATTGCCCCCAGGCCCAGCAATGGTGGACTTCACCCACTCTTCCCCACTCAGACTCCCAAGGTTGCAAACCATTTGAGGTGCAGACCTCTCCAAGGCCACATTAGAGAGTGGGGACAAGAGAGGCCTATCAACAAATAAAGTGAATTTGAATGCAGGTGGCAGATAACTTAGGATTTAGAGAGCCAATGTTCTGCATGTAAGTGTGGGGGAAAAAAAGCCTGTCATGTGCCTGACAATTTCATATACATCCTCTCAATTAATTCTCACAACCCCAAAATAGACATTCCTATTTTCATTTTATAGATGAGGGAACTGAGGTTGAGAGAGGCTAATTACAATTCCCAAGCTCACAGGGACCCCACTGTTCTCTCCCCACTTGCCTTCCTATCCAAACCTCCCAACTCTCAGTGAGGTCCATGAAGAAGTAGGCTCATTCGGGCGTTCCCTGGGCTTGTGTCAGCACCACTGGCTTTATGTCCAGCTCCTCATATACCTCAGTGATGTATGGACCCTGTGTTGAGGGTCCCACCACCTTACCCCTGCTAAACAGGGACCGCTCTGATCCATGGGGAGGACACAGTAACAGTATCAGAGGGGCTCCAGAGTGACAGCTCTAAGTACTACTGCTAGCCTCCAAAAACAGAGCTTTCACATGAACCTCACGTTACTACAAAATCTTTTGGGCTCATTCTCCAGGCTACCTCTACCAACTCCTGCCCATTTTTCACTCTCCTTCAAGCAGACTTTCTCCTTACTGATGCCAGATATACATGTAAAAGAAATGTCCTCCCCTCCTCCTCCTACCATAGCCAACAGCAACCCCACTTTGAAAGTCCAGCTCAGCGCCCACTTCCCCTGTAAAAGCTTCCCCAAATACACCAGCCAGCCCCACACTGAGCTCTCTCTCCTTGAACCCTACAGTATTCCCATTTCACAGCACAGCTTAGTATCTTGGCTATGGTCATATGGACATCTGTCTCAGGAAGGTGTCTCCCTCAGGCATTTGGGTGATACTTCCCCAAGGAGATCGCACATTCTTAGGGGGAAACCAAAGCACACTGTTTTCTTAAGCTTACTGCCAAGCAAAAAGAAGAACTGAGGAACCCTGGTTGGAATCAAGATGGTGATGATTTTCACTTAACCTCCGATCCCCTAGAGCAAGGCAACTGTAAGAAAGTTGGACATTCCTCCACTCAAAGAGGAGAGCCTAGGGCCAGCCTGTGGATATAAACACAGAGATGCCTCCACATCACTTTAAGAGCTTTCACTCAGTACTCTGGGAAATGACACAGGTGCTTACTAGTCAGTCATATGGGGGGGGGTGGGGGGGGCGGCATACACAGTATTAATGACCAAGAGGGAAGGGAGAGGCCAGAGGAATGCACACTGCTGGCAGGTCTTCGCGGGGACCTGCCCTGCTAATCAAAGCTTGCTGTGTGGAGCTAATCCTAGATCAACTAATATGAGGATAACCTAGTTAATAGCCACCACTAATCCACAGGCCCCTGTGCAGTACAGTAAGCATACTCTGAAGTACCTGCCAGGCCCCTTCTTGGGAATTGCTCCCCCTGCCCTCTTATGGCTGATGGAGCCAGACAACGGACCCAAGCTGAGCCAATCTGATGATGTCTCCCAAGGGTAAGGAGTCGGGAATCAAGAGACTGGACCTGTCTAACAACAGCAGAGTCAGAAGCCGCAGCAAGTCGAAGTCACACACAAGCCCCTGTAACAGAGGAACAAAAGCCACAAGAAAGCAGAGGAAGGAAGCAGGACGACAAAAAAAAAGCAAAGTGAGCAGCCTGTGAAAAAAAGACTGATGCAGAAATACTCAGAAGACAGAGGCAGAGAATAGACAAGAGACAAAGACAAGGAGGCAGAGACAAAGAGGATAAAAAGAGAGAAAGATGGACATACACACAGAGAAAGAGGCTGTCTCACAGCATCCTGGCTGTGCTCATGGTGCTTCTGGTTTCGTAGCACCAAGATGTCGCTGCAAGATAGGGCAGAGAAGCTGGCACTTCTCAACCCACCGACAAGCACTCCCTCCTCTTGCTTCTGTTCCTCTCCCCTGCTCCTTCCTGCTACGAACTGCCCCGTGGCTTGGTCCTCCCTGCACACAGTGGGAATCAATGACTTTGTGCTGAAGGAATGAATGAAGGCAGCGCCTCCTGGAAGTCCCTGCAGAGCCCCTTCTCAAAGACCAGCTGGAAGGATACAAAAGAGCATGGGCACAGTGGTTGCTTCTGGGAAGGCAGGAAGGCGGGGTGGACTAAAGCTCTGAGAGGGAGGAGACTTTCTCCACTGTACACCCTTTTAAACTTTGACTCATTTACTATGCACATATACTTCTTTCTCAATAAAAATTAAAATACTTAATTTAAAACAATGTGCAGCCAGAGAGTAGGACCAGGAGTAGACTAAGGTGAGGAAGGTGCCTACAGGACAAAATTTAAGGAGGCTCTCACTGTCAGAGGACAACCTGGCAAACCTGAGAATCAGTACATACTTAAATGCTGGCGCCAGGCACGTTGCTTGCTTCACCCTACTCTTAGCCCTGCCAGAGAACAGAGAGCTCCCGGAACAGTCTACCAAGCAGAAGCCAAGTCCCTCGAATGTTTTCGTGATTCTAATTAAGAAACAAAATTTCACCATTTGATCCCAACCCCTCCAGACCTCCCCAAACTCCCATCCTCACCTAGCACCAAAGACTATCAGCTCAAACACAAGACAACCAGGCTGAGCTTGGAGGCCAGGAGCTCAGGTTCAACTAACACAATTAAAACCTCTGAGCCTTCCCTCTTCCCTTAATCTCATTTCCTTGCTGGAAAACCTGCAACAATGAATGTGGGACCCATGTGAGGGTCTTCCAGGTTCTCCAGGGGCTTGTTGCTGACAATACTCAAATAGCACATCCAGACCTAACCCCAAAGCAGAAACAAATCCCCAAAGTTTCTCTGTGGCAAAGATGGCTACATATCTTCTAATATCTGTTCTTCCATCTTTCCTTAGTAATAAAAATTTTAGCTGGAGTCAGCTGCCCAAAATAAAGTCGACATTTCTTGCAGACAGACATGGCCAAGCAACTAAGTTCTTACCCCAGAAATGTAAGCAAAGTTTCACATAAATAAGACCTTAAAGGAGTATCTTTGAAGGGTGGGATGGGCCTTTCTTTGTCCTTCCCATCAGCTGCAATGCAGACATGACAACTAGAGCTTGAGGAGCCATCCTGGCCCAGCAGCCAGGAGTCACATCCTGAGGACAGCGGAGCAGTAAAACAGAAGGAAGGAACCTGGCTCCCTGAAGGATTATGAAGTCATCCTACCAGCCCCATACTGCCTACTTTCAACATGTGAGAAAAATAGACTGCAGTATGTTTGAGCCAGGCTGCTTTCAGTTTTCAGTTGTTTGAAACCCAAACTAATACGGAATAATACATGCGCCCTCAGACAGAACTGCGCCTCTCATACCCTCTTTCTGATGAGGAGATGGTCTGGCAACCTGAAGTCGTAGTCCCAGTTATGCAGGGAGTCACAGCTTCCTCTTCTACAAGCAACAGCGAAAAGGAACCTTCCAATTCCTCCCACAAGCAGGCTGGGTATTACTAAGGGGCATTCAAGTACAAGGGAATGCAATCCTTAAGAACAACAAAGTGGGAAAATAAAAAGAAGGGGGAGAAACATCTACAAGCCTCTTAGGAGAAAACTGTTCTACAACAGTCCAGGAGAGGTAAACCCTTCCAAATGGAGATTCCAGGATCAGGAGACACCTCTTGGGATGTGTATGAACACATAATGTACATGTCTTTTTTAAAAGCCTCCTTGTTTTTCATTACACAAATACACATTTAGTCTCATTATCAAAACATTCAAACTATATATAGGGTTAGAGTCCAGGATCTTTGATCAACTGTGGTCCAGACCAGTCCTCCTTAGACCTGTCACTGTTAGAACATGAAAGCCATCTATTCATAGCAACAACTAACCAAAATAGGGGAGAAAATCCTTCCTACTCAGAACCCTGCCCAGGCATGAGTCCCAGACAGTAAGAAGCAACAGGAAGCTATTCAGGCATCACACAGTGTTTCTTCACTCCAGCCTCACCCTTGACAGTCTCCCTCCCCTCCCCCTGCCCCTCCTCCTGCTCCCTGTCAGCGTTACCAAACAAACCCTCAGGGACAATATTTCAGCTGTGAGCAGACCTCTGTTTTGATGCCACTGTGTCAGTGCTGACCTGACTTCCATGTCAAGTTTGAGGTTATGTAACAGACAGGTTTCCGCAAAGATAAATGGACCGCCAAGAGCTAAGCCAGAAAAACACACACTTCTACAGGCAAATTAAGTACTCTTTCTCACTCTGGGCCAGAGAAGGGTCCTATGAACTCAAGAAGTGCCATTTTCCCCTATAGTCCCTTAAGAGCCCCTAAGCATACTGGGTTCAGTGGGCAGCCTGAGGCCCCACCCACCACAGAAGAGTCCAAGATCCCAGAATACAAATGAGCAGAATGCACCTTCAGGGCAGTTTCTCGGCCTCAGCACTACTGACACGTTGGGCCAGGTGAGTCTGCTGCGCAGGGCTGGCCTGGGCACCACAGGATATTCAGCAGCACCTCTGACCTCCACCTGCTAGATGCCAGTAGCACTCCTTCCTAGCAGTTGTGACAACCCAAAACTTCTCCAGACCTTGCCAAATGTCTCCTGGGAGGCAAACTCACCTCCAGTTGAGAAGCACTGTTCTGACATAATGTGTAGCTAACACAGCCTGAAATCCAAAAAACCTGCTTAGATCCATCTCCCTGCCAGTATAACCTGAGACTGGGGTGGCGGGCTGCTGGCAGCCAGGATCTGGAAGAGCAAGGCCTTCAGAGTCCAAGAAGGTAATATAAATTAGCAAAGATAAGAATGTCTGGATATAAAACAAGAGGGAGTCAGAGACTGGAGTGAACTGGAAAATATATGCTCCATTTAAAGGAGCTACCACTACTCAAATGTAGCTGATTGTGTCAGGCCAGCATATGGGTTCAAGTTTGCCAGAACTTCAGATTTTTCAAGAAAAGGGCAAGTCCTGACTTTCAAATTTTGGCAAGTAATTAAAAATTATTTAGAACACTGTGCCGGCCCAACAAATATATCTGTGGGCCAAGTCAGGCCCGTGGACCACCAGCTTGCAGCTCTGCCCTAGAGTTAGTTATATGGAGACTGCCTGGGCCCTTTCTTCTAGGATGGAACTTTAATTGCTTAGCCTGGCACGGGTATAACTTCTTTCGGCAGTATCCCAGCTAACAACCTGAACCTATCTCATGTCTCAGTTTCAAGACTAACTTAATTATCTTATCCTACCCAAGCCTCACCCTGGATTCAGTGCAGATCTTTGTTTTTTCCCCTAATTATGACCTAATTGGTTTCTTCCAATTTATGTCTTTTGAGCCCAGGCTGCTCTCAGTGCCACCTGTCCAAGGAAACTCCCTCCCACACACTCCAGCTCTGTTGGATGACACATCTAATTCTATGCCATAATTTCCAAGAAGAGAAGTAAAGTGAACCCTAAACCTAGTCTGTTGGGATGCACAGGTTTTTTGGCTTAAGCCCACCTCTGACAAGCTCCCACCCTCAGGCCTGCCTTATGGAACAGCCTTGGTTTCAGAGACAGAAGGTTTGCAGGATTTCAAATACTGAGTCATATGGGCAAAAGTACATTTCAATGAAAGAAGTTATGAGATACCATGACTTTGCATTTCTAAGAGGTGAGGTCTCCCCTCCAATCAAAAGATCAGTTCCTGGTGTGGGAATAGGCTTCCTAAGCACAAAAAAACAATGGGAAAAATCATAAAGGAAAAAAGATTTAACTAATAAAAATCTTCATATGAAAAATTATGAACAGAGGTGCCATTTGACTTGGTTATTCTTGGAATTCATCCTAAGTCCATCCTGAGACCAGTGCACAGGCACTCTCAGGTGCTCAGATAAGAATGCAAACTCACAAAACCTTCTAGAAAGCAACTGGGTAAGATGAAGAAATTTACAGCAATTTAATTGTTTAGACACAAGAATTTCTCTTATATAATTCTATCCTAGTAAAATATGAAGAAACTCTGAAAACAATTTATGTGCAAAGATTTCCACAGCAGCATTATTTTCAATAATAATATTACAGGGTACTTAATATGCCAGGCAGAGAGAAGTACTATACATGTATTGACTCATTTATTCCCTACAACAATGTACCTTTCCAGACAGGTACAATCAACAGTTCCATTTTACAAATGAGAAAACTAAGCAACAGTTAAGTAACTCCTCCAAGGTCAACAGCTACTTAGTGGTAAAGCTGAAGTCAAATCCAGTTCTGCATGGGAACCTATGATCTTAACCACTACGTTACACTGCCTGGAAACTGCTTATGTGTCCCAAACCATGTTTTCTAAGAATATCTGATGAAAGGGATTAAACATTAAAAAAATTTAAATGCAGTATACAAATCACAAAGAGTATGATCTCAAGAGTAATTTTTTGCTGTTGTTATTTTTCAAGGGTACTTTTTTTAAATGATGGACAAGCACAGAAGAAAAATACTATAAGGTATTTTGCACAAATAGTAATAACAGTTGTGTGAGGTAAAAATCATGGGTGATTTTAACTTTCTTTTTTTTTTGCATTGTTCAAATTGTACAGTCTATGCATTACCTTTTAATTACAAAAAAGACATATATACTTCTTTTTAAAATGTTTCTTTTGAAGAACATTTCACAAAAAGGGGGAAAAATCCATGATAAACTAAGTTTAAAAAGCAGAATAAAAAGTTATGTGCAAAGTATGATTCCAATTCTGCAACAGAAAGAAATGAAGACATGACTAAACTACTAAAAGTACTCATCTCTTGGTGGTAGATTTGAGTCTAATTTTCTCTTTAATGATTGTATTTTATAATCAGAAAATTATCCCCTTTTTCAGAAAGCTCAATCAGGCCACAGCCCCCCAGGAGAAACCCTATCAGATACACAGCTGAGGACTTTCCTCCTCCCAGGGGTATCTGTGGAGCAATTCCATTTAACATCCGTCTTTAATAAATTCCTCAAAGTCAGGAGGGACAGCGTATTATACAATTCTTTATTGCTAACTCCAAGGTACTCTCAGTCTATTTTTAACACTATGGATAAACTGCACATACTGCCAGAGCTTTTGCAAGCAAGATATGGAAAGAACAGAGCATAACTAAGAGTCTCTGGCAGCACACTGCTAAGGAACACAGGGAATTCTGGGCCACTTCTCAGTTAAAACACTAGCTTTACTAGACTAAGTTCACAATAATCTTCTCTCCTTTTCAGTGATTTCACACAGAATTTCTCTTTACCCCCTCATAAAAGGAAAAGGAAAATAAAGAGAGATCCACTGGGATCTTTCAGCTTCTGTCCTCAGAAATCCAAATACGGGGTAGAAGTCACCTTCCTCATTGGCTGCAGACCGAGCTTGTTTCCAAAGTCACTGAAAAGAAATTTGAAACACCAATGGGAAAGAGACACTTTGGTGTGGTGCCTGCTGCTCAGAACAGGCTGCAGAGAGTGGCAGTGGCAGGAAGGAGTCGTCCTGTGGGCCCTAGGGACATAGTATCTTGGGACCGCCAGTCTAGAGAAGTCCATTTCCTCACTGATGGCTTTAAAATTGTTTAAGATTAAAACCTGGGAAGCAAATTTTTTTTTTTGAGCAGCAGAATAAAGACCTCAGCACTGCTGTTTTTTTCTGGGTTAAGTTACAACGAGCAATGTTGACTCCAATTTTAGTATATGTGCTGCCAAAGCGAGCACGAGCAATGTTGACTCCAATCAAAACACCTGACAAGACAAATGTAAGACATGCACCAACCTGTCACACAGACTGGGGAACAGAGGGACAGCCAAGAGTGGAAGAAATGTGAGGCACCAAAAGCCACAAACAGATTCAAACTTCCCCCTCCCCATCCTTTACCCTTACTTCTTTCAGGATCAAATGACTTCGGTGAAATTACTTCTTCAAAGGTTAAGATGCCTCTCTTTCTCACAAAAGAGCAAAATATGCTGTTCAAATATAAAGCATCATTGGCATTATTAAAGGAACCCACACCCCACACATAATCCCCCAGACTTACATATGCAGGCTGCAGCGAGGAGACGGCAGGCCAGGTACGGGGGCTCACAGGTGGGAAAGGAGGGCTGTATGATGTAGTTAGCGAAGGTGATGGCAATGATGGCCTGACTGGTGGGCTCAACAATTAGCAAGGAGGCCCAGAGGCGGATAAAGGCAATGAAGCCCCCAAAGGCCTCTAGAATATAAGCATAGCTGGCCCCTGACTTGGTGATGGTGGTCCCCAGTTCTGCATAGCAAAGGGCACCCACGACGGAGAAAAACCCACCAACGGCCCATATGACCAGCGACAACCCATAGGAGGCAGTGTATACCAGCACACCCTTGGGTGAGACAAAGATTCCTGAGCCGATCATGTTGCCCACCACCAGGCTGACACCATTCAGCAGAGAGATCTCCTTCTTCAGCTGCATAGTTTCTGTGGACTGTTGAGGTAGTGTGCTGACATCCTCTTCTGCCCTGGGCTGGCTGGCCTCAGGAATGAGATGGTAAGTGGGTGTGGGGCTCTCCAGTTCCCTGGTTTCCATGGCAAATGGTTCCTTCACACCTGTGTTTACTATGGCCTGCAAAGAACAGAAGTGTGTCAGTCTAGGGTAGGAGCTTGTAAGGCTCTAGTTTAGACCCGCAAGGCAGGCAGGTTTCCCTGTCCTCTTCTTGTGTAGGGACAGCATGACTCATACACAGACCGAAGTACATACAATGAGCCTGTCTCAGTTCCCATCACAGGATACAAAGAAATGGAGGCAGGCTGACCTCCACTACTCCCAAGAGAGACACCATGAGGGATCAGGCACAATGTGAGGGTGACTTCCAACAAGAGACACCTGGCTTGATGCCCAGGTTAGGCTGGCATTTGGTTTATCTATAGCATGGATCCTCCCCAAGGTTTTGCTCTGTTCTTACCAACTTAAAACCTGCAAATCTGCCCTGTAGAGAAGACAAGGGTCCCAGTACCAGGTTCACAGCCCTAGCCAGTCTGATAGGCCTCTCATTGTCCACACCCACCCACCTCCACCCAAACATAAACAGGGACTTCTGCAGTGTCCAGTCACATAGGGAGAAGTCTGTAGCTACTCTCAGCCCAGCAAAGAACATAGCAGGTAGTGAGAAGGGCTAGGAAGATGCTAAAACAAGGGTATATCACTGTTGCAGAGACTGGACCAAGGAGAGAACCTTCGTGAAAATACACATCAGTGTCTCACTGTGTCCACACCACCACCTTACTTCCTACATTGCTGCTTGCCTATTCACTGCCTTTCTTTTTCCAAAGTGGCCAGAAGAGAGGGATAGCATAATAAGATCAGGTGGAGAAAGAACATCCAGCAGGCACTCTAAGGTGGGACTCATCTGCTATTGGCTTATTTGCTTCCCTCCTCAGCATGCCCCTTTGCACCTGGGGCTGCAAAGAGACTCCCCCCAAAACAGGACTCTTGACACCCAATCAAAGCTACAAGGCTTCTCTTATCCACAGGTCTGGCATTGAAAGGCATCCTGTTAGGAGATGGAACACACAAGCATGCTCACATAATACACACACACACACACACCACCCACACCACCACCCACCACACACACCACCTACTACTACC